GGGAATATCCAAAAAAAAATAAGAGCAAGAAAGTACAAGCTAATAAAATAGAAAGACTACTCGCGATACGCAACAAAAGGAAGTCAATGGCAAAACCTGAATGAAAAGCTAAGAAGAAGGAAATGCTAATTTGAATGCAATCAAAGACTATTAAAGTTTTCGTCTTTATACAGAAACAAACAACCTAGCTTTTGAAATCAACAAACAAATCGATCCGCAACATTTCTTTTTAAGGTAAAAAAATCAGCAAACCTGAATACTAGTCATCAGAGGAAACAGAGGGTTTGATTCACACAATCAGAATGCTTATCAGAAATCCTAATACAGACTGAAAGTCTTCATCTTTATGCAAGGATTACATACCCAAGCAAGACCCTACAAATCACAAAACGAATAAGAGAAACATAATTCAAAATGCAAGACAAGGGACTCAAGTCACTCAACTATCAAGCCCGAATAAAAAAAAAAAAACCCAATGAGAAACAAATGGTAACTGGGAATCCTATTAAAAGCAAAGAAGAAGAATAATAAATAAATAAAGAGAAACCCAATTAAGTACCAATCCAAACTGACAAAATGCCATAAAGATGAATTAAAAAAAAAAATCAAACCTGAATGGCTCTGTGATCTCGGTGATAAGCCAAACAGAGGGAGCAGAGAGCTCCATTCATACAATCCAAACAGTACATATTGCATTCGCTCTTATGCGAGTCAGCGTGAAACTTGCATTGAACGAAGAAGCTCGTCTTCAACAATGGCTTCAGCCATGGCGGCCAACGGTTATCCTCATCAGGCCCAACTCCTCCCTGTAACCAAAATCAACCCTCAATCTCAAAACCCAAAATAACAAATACCCATTTGAAGGAAAAAAAAACTAGTTTTAGCATCAGATTGCTCACCATGACTCTTCTGTTCTTGAGTTTCAGCTCCTTGAATGGGGATTCTTGCTCGATCGCCAGCTTGAGAGAGATTTGAGAGAGAGAGAGACAGAGAGAGCTTTAGAGAGAGAAAGAGAGGGAAGTTGGGGGGAGTGAGAGAGAGAGAGAGGGTTGAAGAGTAGTGGGGGTTTGATGAGCTCGGTCGTTCTTATCCTCACGAAGTCTCTGCTCCGAGCCTACATCCGAAGCCGAGCCTAAGATGCGTTGGTTGCAAGGAAACCTCCTTTTCTTTCCTATTTTTATTCTAGGCTAAATATCAGAAAACCCCCCTTATCTTTAGATAATTATTATATAAACCTCCATTATTTTGAAAATAACAGAAAACCCCCTAAAGTTTAGAGATTATAAGAAAAAAATCCCTTTAACTTTGGTTTTCTCATGAAGTCTCAAAGTTAAACGGTTTTCCCTATAAAATCGTAAAGTTAAATTGGAATTTTATGATAATCTCTACAGTAACAAGGGTTTTTTATTTTGAAAGTTATTGGGGGTTAAGTGATCATACTCCAAAGTTAAAATTTATGTTATGATATCCAGCCTTTATTTTATTCTATTTCTATTCTAATATTATTTTAGTTTCACGTAACCCTTTTAAACTTTTAGTGTTTCCACAAGACCCCCTAAAATTATTAAAATGTCATTGAGAAAAAAGCTTAAATTTTCTCATTTTTCATTTACATTTAATATATCCTTCCCCCAAAATTTGGTCTTTTTTCTAAAAAAAACTTATATGTATTTGAAACTTAGATGTAAGGGGGTTTTTTGACAAAAGTTTAAAGTTCAAGGGGGTTTTAGTGATTCTCCAAAGTTTTGGGGGGTAATGTGAGATAATGAAAAGTTTATCGGGTTATGTGAAAAATCCCCCGAGGGGTTGTGTGAATTACCACTGTTATTTATTACTCCCCATTTCTTTCCCTCCATGTCATTTTCCATTCTCATCTCCTTTTCTCCATTTACAAACATAAAATACGGCACAAAACTATAAAAAATCCAAGTGCTTAATTGTCATTATGTTTAGTCATGTAGCCGCCCTAGGTTTTCTCACTCATTTACACCAGAACCATTAGGGAGCAATAAAGGATAAAAGTGAAGTCCTAATCACACGCCAATACCTTTATAACCACTTGCTAAACTTATCACATCCACATAAATTAGTTTATATAGTTAGTGATCTCTAAGACCTTTGATTGAACTTTCTATATTTTTTTTCCC